CATTCCCTGTCCCTGTCTCTGCCCTACTGTGCCCCCGATGTGCCCCCAATGGGCCCCTGATCTGCCCCTATCCCCTGTCTCTGTCCAGTGTACCCCTGATGTACCCCCAATGTACTTTGATGTGCCCCCAATGTGCCCCATCCCTGTCCCAATGTGCCCCCAATGTGTCCCCATCCCCTGTCCCTGTCCCTGTCCTGCTGTGCCCCAATGTGCCCCCAATATATCCCCATCCCCTGTCCCTGCCCCAATGTACCCCAATGTACCCCCAATGTACTCCTGATGTGTCCCTGATGTGCCCCTAATGTGCCCCCAATGTGCCCCTGTTGTACCCCCATATACCTCCATCCCATGTCCCTGTCCTGATGTGTCCCCAACCTGCACCAAATGTACTCCTGATGTGCCCCCAATGTGTCCCCAATGTGCCCCCATCCCCTTCCCTTGCCCCCCATCCCTCTCCTCCATGCCATTCCTGCCGTGCCGTGCCCGATGCCAACACACCGATCTGCTCCCCCTCCCCGTTCCTGGCCCAAGGGCTCAGTCCCTGGGGAGCAGCAGGACAGTCCCAGGACACCTCTCAGCCCCGTGGAGCTGAGCTGAGACCACCCCAAGTCTGAGACCTCCCCAAGTCTGAGACTCCTCTGAGTCTGAGACCCTTCTGAGTCTGAGACCCCCCCAAGTCTGAGACCCCTCTGAGTCTGAGACCTCCCCAAATCTGAGACTCCTCTGAGTCTGAGACCCCTCTGAGTCTGAGACCTCCCCAAATCTGAGACTCCTCTGAGTCTGAGACCCCTCTGAGTCTGAGACCTCCCCAAATCTGAGACTCCTCTGAGTCTGAGACCCCTCTGAGTCTGAGACCCCCCCCCGAGTCGCTGTGTCCTGCCTGGGGGAGGTGAGAGGGTCCTTTTCTCCCCACACACCACCTCCTTGGGTCTTCCCTCCACCTCTCACCCCGTCTGGGCTGCTCTCCCTGCAGCCCTGGGCCAGCACCGTGCCCAGCACCATGGCCACGGGTGAGCTGACCGAGCTGGAGTTGGCCATCGAGAAGATTGTCACTGTCTTCTTCACCTACGCGGGGAAGGAGGGCAAGAAGGGAACGTTGACCTCCGGCGAGTTCAAAGAGCTGGTCCAGCTCCAGCTGCCCAACCTGATGAAGGTGAGGTGAGGGGCAGCATGAGGGGGTGACTGGATCCTTATGTGTGTCCCCAAACTGGGAGGCTGCTCCCAATCCCATGGGATTTGAGCACATCCCCATCCCCTGCTCCCTCCATCCCCATCCTGCTCGCTGGGATTGGGATGTGGCCAAAGCTGCTGTGTCCTCACTGCAGGATGTTCCCTCTCTGGAGGAGAAGATGAGTGAGCTGGACGTGAACAACGATGAGGAGCTGAAATTCGGCGAGTACTGGCGGCTCATCGGGGAGTTGGCCAAGGCCATGCGGAGGGAGAGAGCAGGGAAGAAGAAGTGATGGGGCTGGGGGAGACTTGGCTCACACAGAGCAAATAAAAGAGGTTTCCCTGAGCCTGAGCATCGCTGCTGTTCTTAGCAGGAGCTCCCACTTTGGGTCCCACATCTCCTCCCCTGCTCATGGCCACGCTGGGGACTGGCCCAGCCCCAGGGGTGGTGGCCTGGGCTCGCTCCACGTTGGAGTGGTGGCTGTGGGGACCCTGGGATGGTTGGGGCCAGGCCCAGATTGCCCTTGGGTTGGCTTGTGGGGTGTTTGTGCCCCACAAACACCTTCCTGCCGGGCTGTGGGGTGGGTGGGTGGGTGGCAG